ACATTTGAAAGATATCCTTGTCTGTTTAAAAGCAATACTGCAACTAAGCGTATATAGGCATTAATCTTGACCTATGTTGTTTGTAGTCTGGAAAAGACTGTTGCAAATTCCGCAACTATACTGTACTTTACGGTTAACCAGACAGTTTCACAACTGCAGATCAAACAAAATTCTTATAACAGATTTACGGACATTTTGGAGGGCAATTTTCAGCTTAAAACTTTAAACTAAGTAATGACAGAAAATTATTTGTTGCTGTACTGAAGTGTATCCATGAATGTGCAGATTTGGGCAGTTACAAATGATAATACTCGTTGTTTTCTTCCCTCTGCTAAATCCTCAATGATTTGATTTGATTTTCCCAAATGATTCTGTATTTGATTTTTGACTTTAGCGCAGAAAGAAAATACTATAAGCTGCATATTTTTTTTCTTATTTTTACTTTCCTTCTTGAAAATTGCTCAGTTTTTGTCTCAAATTTTACACACATATTGAAGCCAAATAATCACTTATCACAATCAATCAATGCAAGCATTAATTCTTCTCGATGCCAGAAGTACTTTTTTCCCCTTCAAATAAATCAGTGTGTTAGCTGAAAAAAAAAAGATAAACAATTTTTTTTATTTCTGAACCAAAATAACAATTAATTTTTTAGGTTCTGTTTATCCTACTTTCCCCCTTTTCGTTATTTACTTTTCATACGTCCGAATCTTTTTTTAGCTTTTCCTTCCATATTGACGGAATTAATTGTAGCACTATCATCCAACAGATGGCTTGACTTTATCGGATTCAAAAATCTTGAGGTGAAAAATGGTTAAAAACAACAATTTAATTGGATTTTCCAAGCAAAAAATAATTTGTAGGCTTAACTGATGATCAAAAGAAGTTAAGCTAAACATGTAAAATTGCTTTTCTTTTTCTGTCTTTGTTTCTTTTCATTGCTCTTGTTTTTGCTGATTGTTATAATCTCTCAAAAAATTAGAATCTTTCGATACTGTAATACGAAATAGAAGCAGAAACTGATTGACATCAGCAGCACGTTCACAGATCACCAAAAAGTGTAAAAGTTTATATGACATACAGTAACTGTAAAGCTAAACAATTGAGAGTACAGTAAAAGTGATGATGCTACCTGTTGAGCAGCAGCTTAACCTGGCAAAGACAAATACGGAAACCAGTTTTAAACTGGCATCAAAAGTTTCAAATACGAGCTGCTTATTTCAGGCAAGTCTTTGCAAATACATATGACACTGAATCACGGTTTTCCGCCACCCGGTAGTTCAGCTTCTTCGGATGATCAAGCGGAAAAAAGCTCCGATTGTGGAGCATCAACAGGTCGTGCAAGTTGTACAACCAGTGAAACTGTACAGACACCAGCGCAACAGGAACTGAAACAGATCAAATCAATGATTGGTGAACTCCGATTGGCACAGAGTACAGCACGGGTTGAGCAGGTAGATATTAAACATCTTCCAGTATTCCTTTCATTAAATTGTATAGAATTACAAATTCCATGTAACTGGTTGTCAATCAGACTCTTTTTTTCTTTTTTCCAAGTACCCAGTTATGCAGCAACTTTACACTTTCAAATTCTCTTTAAGAAATTGTGGCTTTATCAGCAGACTACATCATTCAGTTCATGTTTGTATCATAAGTGCTACACTCCATTATATTTCGTAATCAAATTTCAGTTGTTGGCTGGTTTGGATACGCGAGTTGGACGTTTGGAAAAACAGCTGGAGATGGCGCTGAACAGTATATATACGTTAGTACAGCTACAAACTGGCATCAATTCATCAGTTACTAGATTTCGGGAAGAAGCATGTGAACAACTGAAAACCGTTAAAGCAATACTTAGTGAATCGGCTGTCTAGGAAGTACAAAAGTTGGATCGGATGGAACAAATGTTGAAAAACTGAAGAGCTTTTGTATTCAAACAACAAAAACAACCCTACAACAAAAGAAACTAAACAAAAAAAAATCATGAACAGCACAAAATATGAACACAAGTTATTAATACTTCACTCATCAATGTTGTTTCTTCTCTTCTTCTGAACAATGATCTAATTTGTTTTTCAATTTCAGTGTTTAATTTTTTTTTTCTTATTTTTTGCCAAGTATCTTCGAGTAGTTGCTAGTTTTGATCATTTTCCTTTTTTATTCACACTCACCCACTCATCCATTCGTTCATTTATTCATTTATTCAGTTATTCATTCATTCATTCATTCATTCATTCATTCATACAATCATTCATTCGTTCGTTCGTTCATTTATTTATTCATCCAATCATTCATTCATTCATTTGTTCATTCATTTATTCATTTGTCCGTTCATTCGTTTTATTCATTCATTTGTTAATCTATTCGTTTTTGTTCATTAGTATTGCACTTTTGTCATCAAAGCTTTTTTTTTTGTCCCCCCTCGTTTCATCAGAAAATTCTCATCTTTAAATATCCCGACTAATAGACGGTTTACATCAAGGTAAAGTTTCTTTTCTTCTTCTCTTTTATTTCTAAAACCTTAAATAACCAACTAACTATCTAACTAATTGACTAACTAATCAATCACTCAGTCGTCCAGTCAATCGATCTATCCAGCCGGCTGACTGACTAACTAATTAATCAACTAACTACAGCAACATGCAGTAAGCGACAAGCAACAGCAACAGTAGAGTAATAAAAAGAAAAAAAAATTTAGCTGCAAACGAAATTAGGAATAAAACGCCAGTAATTGGAAATATCGCTTTTGAACACAAAGTTTATTTATTTATTTGCTTTTTTCAGACTTTGTTTAACAAATTCGAGCAGTCTGCATTCATCATTATCGGATATTATCTGTACTGTTGTCGGTGTTGTTGTCGTTGTTTCGTTGCTGCTGTTGATAATACACTGAAAATTTCTAATACTCACCACTTTTGTCAACAGTAATTGTTAATTTTATGTGTTATCGAACAGGATTACTGTAGAGATGAGAATTTTATAAAATATTAAGATATCCATATTATAAATCTTTTATTTTTTGCTTTTTTTATTTTTGTTTTGTGATCCCCTCCTTTCAATCAGTAGACCAAAAAAAAAAAAATAAACAGAACTCTCCTTACGGCCCTTTATCGCCTACTCCCATTTCGGTTCAAAAAAAAAAGCGAATTTATTTGTAGTTTTTTTTCTTCTTTTTTTTATTTTTGTTTATGAAACCAAATTTTCTACCAATTTATACAATTAAAAAAAAAAAATTTGGAGCGTGAAAGATATCATTGCCCCATTGTCATCTGTTAACAAATACGACAACGCCAACAACAACACATTAGCAAAGAAAAAAGAACAATAAAAAGTCAAAACTTTATCAAAACCGAGAAACAAAACAATAAATGAATA